CACACAAACAAACATGAACACAATATAAATAATGTATGTTACAAAACAAGAATTTTTTGTAAGATTATTGTTTATTTCAATTATTATTTAACTCATAGCACACTATTAGTTAAACCAAGGCAATAATTTTATCAAAATATTCAAAAAATGTCCTAACTTAGTTTTCTTTTTAAATCGTTTTATATGCAAGTAGTTGTCATTACACGCTTAATTACAAAATAAAACAAGTAAAGAAGGGCTAAGTTTGGGTGAAACCGAGCATTTTATTTTTTCGCAACGTGTCAAAAAATCATATATACGTTGGCTAAATGAACCTCAGTCGTCTGCCCCAAACAACACCTATACACATCACTAAATTCATATCAACAACTCCCATGAGCGAGCATTTCACATCTACACATTCAAATACAATCCGCACTCGATCAAACGGAACGAGATACCAGCCAACAAAAGGGATCGTCCCCGCTTTTTTTTTTTTTTTAATTAACTATCCCGCACATCGTCGTTTGACCGCCGCCTTGCTACGTTATAGTCAACTTGTGATTAAAACCTTTTTATGAAACGATACATATTGCGACTTTTCGAAAATATAGATATCGGAAATATAGATAAACATAGCTACTGTGAAGTATTTTTTGAAATAGAAGCGGGATGTGCCAACGTATTACCGATCGATGCTGTGATTGTGGTTGGTGTCGGTGTGTGGTGTGTGGTGCTCTCGTGAGTAGTGTAGAATGTGAGTTGTAAGTGTAATGTGGTAAGTGTGGTGAAGGTTGTGTGTCAGTGTTGTTAGTTTGATTTGATATGGGGCGATATTCCGGCCTATTGCTATGACGCCAGGAACGTAAGTCCTCCGTAGGGAATGCCGGCCTTGGCGGTTGCGATCGCGGGAGTCTTCTGGTGTAACGGGTATGGTGGTGCGCATGCATATCTGGCACTGATAGGAAGTTATGCACTCCTGCGTATGTATGGGCGCCAGACAATTTAGGCGATGGAAATGTGCCTGAGCGACCTGCTGGCGTTGTTGCGGGGTCATCCCCTTGAAGATTGTTGAAACTGCTCGGAGAGCTGCGGTGGTTATTGTTGTTCGTGGCTACTGGTTTATCCTTCGATCACGGAACAGTAACGGCCAACCGGTCTGTGGGCGTAGGGGCAGTTGACATCTCGGCATCCATATTTATCTGTTAAAAGATGTTATTTTAATTAACATATACATAGATATTGATATGGGAATTGTTTATTTTTGCTTCTTTGTTTATTAGTTACGGTTACGTTATTTTCGCTTTACTTTTCGGTTTTATCGGCGGATGGCAAAATGCATAGCTTAGCGGGCGGCCTTGTTAGTGTTCCCGTTTGTGTGCGGAGATCGACTACGCGAATACGACCGTCGGAGCTGTATATATAATAATATTTCCATTGGCGACTGAAATCATGATTGAGAATCTTAATTCTTTCTCAACGGTTTAATAAGGAGACCCACTCCACGCCTGACTCAGGTGTGGTCAGGATGGGTGCTCCTTGCTGCTTCAATTCAAGTTAACAGTGTCGTGAATTTTTCATAATTAAAATTGTGGTTGCCAGCTATATTTTTAAATTGAGATTTGAAGCTTTTTACCGCTGATTCTCATAAGCCGCCCATATGAGGAGCGCTTGGGGGGATAAACTGCTAATTGATACCTTGGGGAGCGTATTTTTGGGCAATGTCAGGTGAGACTTGTTTTAAGAAGTCGACAAACTGTCTTTCGGTACATGTTTTACTATTATCGCTCATGATTTTTGCTAGAAAGCCTCGTACATAGCTCAATGTGAACGAACTGCTTTTGACAAAAACAGCCACATAGCCTTTCATGAGGGTAGGAGACCTTAGCATGACGCCTGTAGGGCTGAAAGGCAGAACAAAGTTTCAGCGTTCAGGTGGAAGTGCTGTCATAATTTGCGATCGCATTTTTTGCTTATGTAAGTTAAGCTGTAATGGCCACCCACGTAACAAATCTGTACTCTGATTTGCTTTTGAAATGCTGGTACGCGTCGCTGCGGAGCTACCGCATGTCAAGGAAAGTAGCATCCCGGCACGACTGCAGTTGGCGGCCACACTAAGATTTTTAGCCGAAGGTGGCTTCAAAAATCAGTAGGGAAGGATGTTGTTGTTGCAATGGGTCGCAGTACAATTGCGAAAGTTCTTAAGCGGCTGCTTAATGTTTTAGAAAAATACATTTGTTCACAATGGATTAAACTTAATATGACGGAGGCCGAAATAGCCGCATCAAATCAACATTTTTTACAAAACTTTGGCATACCTATTTTTTTTAATTTTCTTTTAGATTTGTGACTACAATATGACAATAAGAGCAATAGATGCCCGCTGCCCTGGTTCAAGCCATGACTCTTTAATATGGAGTGTGAGCAGAGCTCAAGAGTATTTCCAACGCAACTACGAAGGCGGTGAACATGGCTGCTGGCTTTTGGGTGATGCTGGCTACGCGTTGCAACCATATTTGCTAACTCCGTTTAGGGATCCAAGTGTTGCAACACCACAACATACTTTTAATCAAAGACACTCTTCGGCAAGGAATATTATAGAAAGAACTATAGGTGTTTTAAAAAGTCGCTTCAGATGTCTTTCTCGTCTCCTACAGTACCAACCTCAAAAAGTAGTGCAGATGACAAATGTTTGCTGCGATTTGCATAATATTTGCAAATACTATAAAGTGCAAGAATTGGTAGAGTTTGCCTCAGGAGATGATGAAAACGAACACAGTATTAGTGGAGAAATAACAAACGAAACAACGCTTGATGGAGAGGCTGCAATAATGCGAGATACTATAGCCAACCTACTTCATACGAATTCCTGAAAATAAAGTGCACGTTGAAATAATGCAAATAGATATTAAGTAATGGATTTCAAGTTCATATGTAAATATATTTCATTTATTTAAAATTAAAAAATATCACATTAAGTGTAGTTCAGTTTGAATAATGAAAGTGAATTTAGTTCAGTAAACAAAATAAAAATCACATAAATTCATTGAAAAAAAAAAAATTAATTGTTGTTGCCGCGATTGTACTTTGAGCACATTTTGAGCACTTCCAGCTCAAACTCCTTCATTTTCATCTCATTCTCCTCTTGTCCAAGCCTTTCCAGTTGTAGGTCGTGATGCATGTTCGCGGCCGTGCTTTCTTTAACGGCGATGGTCAATTCTTTCATGGCATCGCACACGCTTTTAAGGCCCGCACTAAATTCCCTCGTGACGTCAACATTTTCCTCTAGCCCATGCACAAGGGTTTTCATGGCCTAAGGCAGTCAGACACCCCATGCTGGCATCTGCGAGATGGCATTGAGAGGACGGCACTGCTTGTGCATGGCAATTCTGCGTATTCATCCTCGCTTGAATTGTCTGTCATCTCCTCAGAATTTTAAGGAGCCATTTTTTCGATGCCGCAGACAACGGTATATATGCCACACAACTGGACAATTTTATCTTCTGTTGCTGTTAAAGTGTGCTTGTTAAACGGCCCTCCCCCAGTTGCTCTAGCTTCGGAATTATTGTGGGCAACTTTTTTCCTGGACTTCCAATCCATCCAAACCTAATGAAATATTAGATTTAGAAAAGTTCTTAAGAATTAGAAAATGTATTGTGTCCCCTTTCTCCAGCCAGAAATATCTTTTTCTGATGGGCCATGTTTGTTAAGCTCCGCTGCAAACTGCTTCCAAAGCTTCAATTAGCTAACCTTTTTGATATATTAGTTATAAAAGATTAAACGAAATAAATATGAATACTAATGAACTGACAGCAATATCAGCTGTATAGCACAGAAGGAAGATTTTGATAAAAATTTAGATGAAATGACAAAAAAAATTACTATTACATGGACTGAAAACGTAGAACACTTTGAGAAACGCTCGATCTTGCAAAATCTTTACCTGAATTTGACGGCAAACAAGAACATTATTGTAGTGGAGGGAAGCGGCGCACACAGCCTACAGATTATATGGAAGGTACGACGGAAATACTAAGCACTACCAAAAAATAAGATTAGAGGTTCTGCAGACAGTATTCTAGCTTCTTTCAACACCGTGTTAAATTTCAAAGTCATAATAGCTTGACTTTACCTATGAGGATAAACTACCAGTTTATTTGATCGAGCAGGAATTTAGTACCTTAAGACAAGGGATTCTGACGGTTGCAAAATTTTACGATGAAGTGGAGAGAAAGCTTACACTGCTTACTAATAAGACTTTAATGACTTACGAGGGTCACCTAGCAAATTCCATAAATGAAAAATACAGAACGGATGCTTTACGCGTGTTTATTTCCGGTTTAAGAAAMCCCATTTGCGATATTTTATTTTCTACAAGACCAGTTGCCTTGCCGACTTCTTTAGCACTTGCTCAGTGGCGGATTAAGAATATCCGAGACCCTAAGCACAGAGCCTGTGTAGGCCCTCTGTTGATTAAATTAAAATGGAAAGGAAGGTAGAAAGTATAAAATGAAAGTTCATCAAAATAAAAAGTGTAGTAGGTATAATTTAAAACTTAAAACATTTTTTCCTCGCCTTAATCAGAGAAAACTCCGAAACTACATCGTCAACATTTATCTGACGAAGTATGTCTCCTCAATACACATTAATGCTAAAGAATTATGCTGGTATTGTCATTGGCGAAGCGAATGCATTGGCGAGTCGAATGTTTTAGGCGAAAATTCGCCATGTTCATATTGTGACTGACGAATGACCACATTCGCTCAACTTTTTTATAGCCATACTAAAATAATTGAGAAATGTCACACGAGTTCATCCGAAATTGACATATTTGACGTATTATTGTTATTGTTTTGAAAATTTATTATTCGCTTATTCGTTATTGTGTGCTTTGAAATGTTACCGTGATTTTAAAAAGTGAATAAAAATTTTTAACCAAGTAGATTTATATTTTGAAGACAGTTATGTTGAAAGGACAACAACGAAATTACTTAGGCAGCGACGGTTCATCAGAGATCACTCTAATCCCATGGAACTTTCTGTGTCTGTGTCTGTGTCTGCGTCTGCGTCTGTGTCTGCGTCTGCGGTGATTGAGAAAAGATGTTTAAATTGACACTGCTACAGGCGGATTCACCAAAGTCGCTGAGGAAGGAGTCGTCACCTTCTGTCATTACGGTGCCATAATTGCCTTGTGTGCTGAAAATGCGTATATAATAAATAATACAATTATATAAATAAAGCAAGATTATACAAAACCTACTTCAAGTTGTCCATTTCAACGTCCTTTAAAAACTTTAGGCTCTCCATACACTTACTCTTTTTGTGTGGCGAATACACGCCGCTTCCTGATGGTCTCTTTTTTAAGTGTTTGTAAAATTTATCTCGTAGGGTCCGCCAACGGGCCTTTAGCATTTCATCTAAAAACATTCAAAACATGAATAAATATATATTTTCTGTTAGGTTATAAAATTAAAGATTTACCTGGAATATGCAATTTCTCCGATAGCTCCTGAAATTTGGCGTCCCTCAGGTAGCTATTTTTATAATTCCTATGACTTTTGTCATATAGGAACCGGTTTTCGCTAACAATTTCAATCAATTTTTCTTCCATTTTTTTATATATTTTGTTTATTTTCACTGAACAGCTGAGCGCAATTTAAAATGTTGCCGGAYTTTGCTCAAAAATTAATTATTTGAATGTTGTCAGCACTGCCTCTGCGCAGAGAAATTCAAATTTCACATGCCGTGCAGATCTGCATTGAGGTGCAGAATTTGAACTGTCAAATCAGTRCAAATTTTTTTTCTGCACGCAGAATTCTGCACATGTCATTCCGGCATTAAGCTTGTCTGGGCGAATTTTTGTTCTTTGCGGGTTTTTTAATCTTTTTAGTTGTGAGAAGGATCGTTCAGCAGAACAGTTAGTAGTTATTCAGCTGTGAAAAATTCTAAACCCCACTTCTATATTTGAGAAAACGCATTTTACTTTATCTTTAATAATCATTTCATATAGATCGGAATGGGTGACCTTTGTTTCTGAAAATTCATATTTTATTCGAACATATTTGTGAAAATTACTAAATTTACCGAGGGAGTTTTCATTGGAGTCTTCTGGTTAAGATTCTAAGAGCAATTTTATATCTTTTTCATATTCTAAACATGACTTATTTAGATCCGCAAGAAATGAAAACTTTTGTGAAACTTCATCACCTCTTCTCTGCATTTGAGCATTAAGTGTGTCAATTATTACATTGAAAGTCTCAATGCGGAATTTGTCTCTAAGATTCAAATCAATTCCTCTGCATTTCCATCATTTACTTGTTTCTTCCTAATTCGTCTTCGAGTTTCCTTATATTCCCCATTAGGAAACATTTTTCTTGCCTCGCCTTCAAATTTTCATATTGATTCCACATTTCAACGAGAGGACCCGATAAAGAATGATACAAATTGGAACACGTTTTAAGATCTAATCTTTCTTCTTGGAGTCGTTTACTGGTGCGATGAAAATCTTGTAGAATATCATTCCACAAAGTGAGCATAAATATAAACTCAAAATCGTGCATTTTGTTTGAAATATTTTGTGATTCTAATCTGGTCTCACCTTTTTGGTTTGTGTCCTTAGCAATTTCATCTAAAGCATCTAAAATTTTGGAATAGGATTGCAATATTTTGCATGTACACAATTTCGTTGTGGTCATACTAATAACTTTCACTTCTGTTATTTTTGTTTCACAATTGTTATTACAAATAATATAACACAGCTTTTGTTTATAAAGTAATTCCAGGTTTGTTAGAGCTTTGAATAATTTTACATTTTACATATTAGTGGTATCACTCCTCTCTACTGTCGTACCTGTACATCAAAAAGTGACATTTCATAAACATACTTCCAAGTTTAGGTATGTATAAGATACTTTCCATGCTTTTTTTTTTTGTGAAGTACGGTATTTTTTGAATTTATTATTTTAGTAAAAATGTAAAAAAGCTGAGAAAGTGGGACTTAGTTTAGTTATGTGTTCGTAATCAATAGTGAAAGCATAAATATTGTAAACTTGAAAACTTTGTGTGGGGTAACGATAAGTGAATTTTCAAACAAAACCACACCGTAAATAAAGTAGGTCAACACGTGCGGTAATGTGTATGGACGCTATCATTTGCAATGCAAAGACAACTCACTCATTCGGTCTCGCGGCGGCGCGACGCGACGTTCGGGCAGGGCCCTGCAGGGGCGTATGAAAGGCCACTTCGGGACTGCTCGCGCCTTGTAATTTTGGACATATTTGTTGTCGATGAATCTCGATAAAATATAGGTATAAAATGAAACACCAGCAGAGGATGGAGGCCCCTGGAGAACAGAGGCCCCAAGCACGTGCTTGTAGTCTTATACGTTAATCCGCAACTGCACTTGCAAAAGAACTAGAGGCAAATCAAGAACGTTATGCATTGTCGGCGTATTTTTCGAAGCGTTTTGACGACAATAGAAGGAGTAACATCAATTCATGGTTTGACTAAAGTAATTAAGAAATGTACAACAAATTTATTCGAATTTTATTTTAACTGCCCTGATAAGGTTTGATGCGATAATTGGACGTGAAATTTCTCATGACTTTGGAAAAGAAAAGTTATTATTTACTGAATGTGGAGACATAAATATTATAGAAACTCAACACAACAACCTACCTCTTGAAGTGAAGGGAGAGTTTTTAAAAATGATCGAGAAACGATCAAATGCATTTGCAGACTCATATAAATATTTACCATGTAATAAAAATATCGTTGCAACCATTCGTACAAGACATGAAGAGCCTGTATGTTCTAAGTTATACCCTTATCCATTAGGTATAGGAGATTTTGTGAAAAATTAAATAAAGGAACTTTTACGTAATGGCATTATTAGGCCCTCTGGATCTCCCTATAACAACCTAAGGGTAGTGGACAAAAAGTTTTCGATGAGTTAGGTAACAAGAAGAAACGCTTGGTAGTATATTTTGGAAAATTAAATGAAGTAACAATTGATAATAAATATCCAATTCCAAATGTAGTGTCGATATTGTCTAACATACGTCATTCGCAATATTTTAAAACCCTTGATTTGAAATCAGGTTTTCATCAAATTGTACTAGCAGAACGAGATAGAGAGAAAACAGCATCTTCTGTAAGCAACGGGAAGTATGAGTTCTGTAGACTGCCATTTGGCTTAAAAAATGCCCCTAGCATATTCCAGAGCGCCATAGATGACGTCTTTAGGCTACAAATAGGTAAAAGCTGTTATGTCTATGTAGATGATGTGATAATATTTTCAAAAACAAAAGAACAACATATTGAAGACGTAAAAGAACTTTAAAAATCCTTTATGATGCTAATATGAGAGTGTCATTAGAAAAGTCATATTTTTTCAAAACGATATCGAATACCTTGGGTTTATTGTGTCAAGAGGAGGTATTAAAGTATGTTTGGATAAGGTTCATACGATGTTAAATTTCCCAGTCCCGAAAAATTGCTAGCATACCCAAACCCTTGACAGACATTCTAAAAGGTGAAAATGGAAGAGTGCTTATCAATCAAAGAAAGTAAATCTCACACTAGATTCAATACAGTACCAATCTTTTGATATTTTGAAACGTATATTGATGCCTGGAAAATCAACAACCGACCAGATATTCACCATGCG